ATGATTGAAAAAAAAATGTTTTTTTGTCAGACTAGGCGAATCCCTCTAGATGATCATCAGATTATCAGACAGCACGTCTAAAACATGAAGATGAACCATATATATCTTAATCTGACGCGCCTGAGTATTTCAAAATGACGAAGTTTTTTTGCACTTCATAATAATGGCCGCGAGTTTGCATCAGATCGAAACCATCAGATTATTGAATGAGAGTTTTTTTTGTTGCACTTAACACCCCCTTAGAAAATCTGACGCGCTCGATAGAAAATTTTTTCTTTCCACTTTCAACCCTTACGTATAACCACCCGCATCATGCAAACGATCAGATTAACACACGAACATTATTAAAAATACGTAGGACATTGATGCTATCAATATCTGACGCGCACGAGTATGTCCATGCAACAGTATTTTTTCACTTATTCAAAAATCTATAGCCGCTTCCCCCACCGATAAAAATGTGTATATTATACAACATTTTTTTCTTCTTATCATCCCAGCTTTGCAACCTAATATGTCTCTATGACGCTCAAGAAAATATCCATTTTGCATCGTGGGCTCCCCTACTACAGCACCTTCCTTTGCAAAGGAGTCAGCAGACTCATTGCCTTCCTGGTCAATATGGCCAGGAATCCAGACCAGAGACGATCTGTTAAGTCTTCCTTGAGAAGAGTCGTTTTTGGCAATTTGCTATCAATTTAGACGTTGCTCGGTAGAAGCCAAGAGCTTCCAACGCCGCTTGACTGTCCGAGAGGTTGTATGAGGTTGTATTTTGCCAATCTCTTCGCACACAATTCAATAGCGTAAACCGCTTGAAATAGTCGCTAGGTTTCTAGTCAGGTTGATATCTCTGTCCTGATTCTGCTACTGAAAATACCTGCACCGGAACCGGAAGTTGTTTTTGATCCATCTGTGAACCAACAACTATCTGATCTTAATATTTCCTTCTCCCGGAAGATCCAGTCCTCTCTAGTCGGGAACACTTTATAAGGCAGTTCGTAGTTGATAGTTGTAGGCATAAAGTCAGAGGTTATTTCCAGAATGCTGGGACTTCCAGTGTCAACCAACAGTTTGTTGCACTCTGCACTGAATTGATTTGTGCAATGGGCAATATGCATAAGTCTATATGCAGTCCATCAGCCTCTCTCTCCAGAAAAATGTGGAGAAGAGGTAGATCTAGAAGGATTTCCATGGCCGCCGACGGTGTGGTACTGATGGCTTCACTAATGGCCAGACAAGCATGTCTCTGTAAGCCAGATAGCTTCGCCTGGGCCGTGTTCTGTAGAGCCTTCGGCCACCATGCAATTGCACCATTAGTGATCATCTATGACATTAATGGTGCAATGGTGTGATGACAATCATCACATGAATCCAATGGATTTGTTCGAGACCTAAACCCCAAGTTTTACCACATATCCTTTGACATGTTCATAGGGACAGTCTGGTTTTGTATAAAACTTTTTCCAAGTGAGCGTTCCAGGTGAGTTTTTTATCAAGGACAATGCCAAGATATTTCACCTCCATTCCAGATGGAATGACCCCACCATTGAGGGAAGCTCATTAGGAGATAATAATCGAATGATATTTTTAGTTTTTTTTTCTTTTGTTATGGTACCATCACCGTTAATTTTTTTTTAATTTTTTGTATGTTAGCCTTTATAATAGAGTGGTGCTTGTTGGTTGACTTTGAGTAACTCCGTTATCATTATTCTAAAATCCAATAGGAGAAAATATAACAAAAATTTGTAAGTCTCTTTACAACGGTGTATGAAAAACGTAAATTTGATGAACCGTTTTCGCCAAAAATTAATTTCGTAGCTCGAATGAGCCACCTTGGATAATTTGGTTATTTTTACATGTTCAAGCCTATTTTTATTAGGCCATTTTTACAAACTTGAACAGTCTTCAAAAAATCACATTCTTGAAAAAATTTAATTGGTTTATCATCATGCTTACAATCAAAAAAATCTAATCTGCGTGTTTAAATCAAATATTCAAATTATCCTCCATTGATTTCCATACAATGACACAATATTGACTGAAAACTGTCTCTGACATGGTGCAGCATAACTGGAGTTATTTGACGAAACTCATTCACAATTCTTTGGCGTAGTTCGTCCAAATTTTCAGGGTAAGTCACAAAAATCTTGGACTTGAGATGTCCCCACAGTGAAGTCCAGAGGAATCAGGTCAGGAGATCGGGCAGGCCACTACATAGGACCTCTTCTTCCAATCCAACGACCGGGGTATTGCAACTTGAGGTATTGACAAGCTGGTGCGGCGTAGTGCGGAGGAGCTCCGTCTTATTAGAAATGCAATTGTTGTTCAAGTAGTAAAGGATCGTTTTCTAATTGTTCAGTTATTAGCGGATCAATCGCCTTTTTAGCTTTTCTGGATGTTGAGGGTGATCTTCTCGAAATTCATGAGGATTTGAATTGCTTCAAATTTCACAGTTATGACGGTTAACCTCTCCATTAAGTAAAAAAGTGCATTTGTCAGAAAAGCAAACTTTGCACGAGAAATTTGGGTTATTGTTGATACGCTCGGCCATAATTTCGCAAAACTCGTGCCTTCGATCCCAATCATCATCATTTAATTCATGAATTGATTTAATTTTGTACGGATGAAAAATTCTGAGAACGTTAGGTTGACCAATACTGGAAACTGCAGAAAGTTGTCGTACATATTTCGTGTTTGGCACAAGTTGGACATGTCCCAATATCGCCACAGCTGCTCCTTAATCATTCACAATTCCAATGGGTGCACTTTTTTTATCCTTTACTGAACCCGTCTCCACAAATTTTGAAATCAATTCCAGTACGTACTTATGGCGAACGCTACGTTCAGGGTGGTTTTGGTATAATATATTTGCAGCCGCTGGAGCACAATTTTGTTTTTGGTAATAAAGGCTAACCAGCTCAACACGTTCTTGCATAAATTTTTCAAGAATGTAATTTTTTGACGATTGTTTGAGTTTGTAGAAAGGGCTTGATGAAAATAGGCTTGTACATTGTAAAAATAACCAAATTATTCAAGGTGGCTCATTTGAGCTGCAAAATAGATTTTTGGCGGAAACGTTTCATCAAATTTACGTTTTTCATACACCGTTGTAAACAGGCTTCTAAGACCTTTCAAATAAAGTATCACTCAACCCCTCTCCCCTGTTCAAGTTTGAGGGGTTGAAGAGAGCAACCCCCTATTAGGGGTTGCTCGTTCAAGCCTGAAATATTCGTCAAAAGATGTCCCCAAAACAAAATCATTCGACGTGTTTCGGGAAATGTTTACACTCACTATGAGATAAGAAATATACGGGGTGGCTCGTCTGAGATAGAACACCCTGTATACAAGTAATTTCATTTTGAGCATAACAGCTATATTTGTGTCTCTCACCAAGAAACTAAACATGCTCAATAGCTGAAACTGATAACATATGTTCGAGACGATTGTACAAACATTAAAAATCGCTCATCGAATGTACTTAGTCCGCGAAACTTGAACATTTACCTTATTTTTTTAACAAACCTCGTATGAAGAATCGAATTCGATTTCATGATGATTTTTTTTTCAGGGTATACCTATTATCTGCGAGCTTACAGGGGTGATTTCAAGATAAACTGGTGTTTTATTGAGAGTTACACCTTCAATTTGTCCATTTTCACCTTACAAAATATACACAATGTAGCATGTGTTCTATATTCGTTCAATGAAAATATGTTACAAATAGCCACTTTTAGAAATAAAGAAAAATCGAAAAATACTATTTTCCACATATTATTGCACAACATGCTTTTACACAATTTAGAATTGGTTTAGTGTATACAAGGAAAAACGTGAAATACTTTGGTCGCATTGATCCAAAAAAACCTATGAATTGTTCTAAATCCAACATAAGCACTCCCCAGTTTATGAATTAGGTATAAAATGTTGAACACTGGAATGAAAACTCAACTCAATTTCTTCTTAATCTGTAAAAATTCAACACATAAATTATTGGAAAACTTATAGTAATGAATCAAATTCTGAATAGTCGATTAAATCTAAAGAGTATATTTATTTCTAGATACAGGAAAATCTACAGTATATTATTTCTATAAACATCGGACAACGACAACAAACGTGATGGAAATAATACAAATCCAACCCCAACATCGAAAGCATTGAAATTTGGATTATTCCTTTAATATTTTTATGGTTTCTATATATTTCTGTATCGTTATGAAAATAATGTTACGTTACCAAAATGAGAGTCTTTATTATTCCTGTGATTACTTTGTTGTGCATTTTGATCAACAGTATTTGCACTACAAATTACAATTATTACATAGAATTCTACAGGACCTAATCATTCACTTTAGCATCTTTCAAAAGTTTGGCAGATCCCGACCAATATCGTCTTCCGTGTCTGTTGACGTTGCACATCAACCTCAGTGACAGAAAGTAAATGATCTCGATGATCGACAATACCGAGAATCCTGTGAATAATCCCAAAATACCTCCACAGTTAGCAAGAAAGTCGGTCTGGCCGTACAATTCGTTTCTCTCTGAAGTTATGAACTGTTGCTCTTTGAAGAATATCGTCAGTCTGGTCATCTGAACTCTGAAAAAGTTTTATGCAAACGCATTATTTCATACAATATCATTATGTAAATACCAGCACTTGAAGAAATTTAACTTCTACATTTCTATACAAAATAATGTGAAAATTTTTCAGGAAGGAAGAAAGCAAATGAAGGGTACAGGGAAAGAACGACAATAGTCCATTCGGACGGATTCCAAGGAAATGGAAAATATACGTTCAATTACTAGTAAGAAACCAAAATGGAAAGAAAATAAGTCACAAACAATATTTTTCAGTAAATAACATGTTTTTTATTCAAAAATATGAACAAAATCAACATTTATTCAGAACTTATGACGTAACAATAAAAAAATAATATTTAGACATGGACACATGCCACTTTTAACCTGTATCAGGTGTCTATTGGTGCGGGTCATCCACAAATTCGTCATCGCTCTCTTCAGGTTATTCGGCAAATGTTAATTGTTGATAAAACACTCTGGCTTCTGCTCTCTGAAAGAATTCAGTCAGATCTTGCAAATCCTTCCATTTGAGTTTTTTGACGGGAATTGGGCACTGATAAAGTTTTGCCAACACTTCCTCTTCATTTCTCTGATTATTTTTATTTCTTTGGTTCTTTGTGAGTAGTTTTCGGTTAAATTTAGAACTAGCATAAAGACCACAATATGTGGTTCTGTGGAACACCAAGCGGGAATTCTCGTTTCAAAACTCCAGCATCCTGATAGGCCGAGTCGGGAAGGGGCACTTCTTTAGATAAAGCGGCGATAAAAATAAACTCCAATTTTGAAACACAAAATTTTTGCCACAGTCAATCACTTCGAATGGTGTAGGTTTTACCCGGCAATTTCTTAATTCTTCTCTCCAGTCATCTGGTACCTCAGTGTATGCTTTTTGATTCACGAGGCTCATGTCTCGATCACATTCGAGGTATCGAGGTATGAATGCCCCCTGATCGGGAATATTAGTTTCACAGTATCAAAACGGTTCTTTTTAATGACCAAGTACCGAAGCACCGAATTACAGTGAAGTTTTTATTTTGTCCTGCGCAGGAATCACAAAATATTGACAGTTTTTTCACCTCCATGGGCAGGATATCATAAAAGAAGTGACACAGCAAAGAGCAAACGTCGTCAGCTCCTTTCTTAGCAACAGTTTCATCATGGGTGTAAAATACAGATCTTGTATTTGACAGAATATGAACGTTGAAACTTATGAAAGTCAGTTGACGTTTATAGTAAACAACATTGGTGGTAATATTTGGGCATGGTAAGTTTTTTTGTAAATCCATGGCGATACATTCCATACTGATCGACTTTGAAACACGTTTGCGGTGATTTCTCTTACGACTGTGAAATTTCTAACTTTTTGTTAGATGTAGCTCTTTTTCACGCATTTTTTTCTCCAAATCATCGCTTGCCATTTTCCTGGTGTTATCATCCAAGATGGACTTAGGACAGTGTTAGAGTAAGTGAAGATATGTCGGCTTTAAAGGAATCACACGTGCTGCATGTGTCTTTGCGTGGATACCCAAATGAAATATTGAAGTTACTTTCAAAAATTTCTCTGAAACTTTCGTAGGAAAGGTTATTATCAGCGTTACGATCAGAATACATTTTGTGCAATTTGATGATATTCAGGTCTTCAGACAGATACCTTTTTTTTCGAGTCTGTCATGGAACAATGTGATTTGCTCTCTTTTAAGTCTTCTGAAAGTTTGTTAGGTCGTGTATTGTGTTTTCCACGCATGTCGATGGATGATTTTCCAGTTAACAGTAAAGACTCCCTGACGTATCTAGCTCGACGACCTATGATTCCATGTAAAGACAAAAAAGCCTTAATATAAACTGAACTCCATTCGGCAAGGACTGATGCCGTTTTTCCATATACGGTCGCGGACTAATGCCACCCTACCCAGGTAGGCAATTTTGTTTCTGTTTTTTTGAGGACCTGAGCTACTTTAACTTTTAATGGACTGATGCCGGTTTTCCCCTGGACCCTTCAAATGATTTGATGATAAACTCTTCACAAAGATGTGTAGATTACGCAAAGAAGTGACTTTCAGACTCAAACTGGAAGAAAAAGAGCCTTCTTGAAACAGCTACTTTCGTAGGAACATTGAAAAATACGACGGAATCTAGACTTTCAAAAACACTACCTTATTGCCTGTCCAGCACAAATCTGAATATTACTGCTAGATAAGGCCTCAGTATATTTATAAAATTACAACCTCATGTCACGAGTGGGTTGAATCTACCAATGCTATCGATAACAATGTTATCCGGATTGGTGTTAATGAGACAATAAGACAGGTATCTCCCTCCGAAATATCGAAGTCCACTATCGAGGATGACAGTGTTTCATGTGAGTGAAATTTTTCTTTTTTCATTGTATAACAAACCTGTGAATGACATCCGAATCAATTTGTATTCCACAAATAATGAGAGGTAGGATTTGAACAGCGCCAAAATTTTTGAATCGAAACCAACAGGATCTGATTCATACAATTTTATATGAAAAGAACAAAATCATCTACTTTGTCAAAGACTTTTGAAAGATCTGTATTTTATATCAACTCGTAACTGATTCTCAACTGCCTCATTTGCAAATTGTGAATGAATACCAAAATACTGCAAAAGAAAATTGTGAATGAATACCAAGTTTCTGCAGAGGAGAATGACGTAGCTTAGACGAATATTTTATTGGGTGTAAGACAAACAAGAGAGACTTTTCAGAGATCTGGAAAACACCGACATCAATTAACGTTCAAAACGGTTATAGAGCCAGATCCTGAAGACCAAATATTCACGATCCAGCACCTAAACTTGCCAAATGTTCTATCAGTTGTGCTAGGCTGAATCAAGAATGCACCTAGAAGCTTGAATATGACGTCATCTATGAGATCGACGGAAAACAAACATTGCCTATCCAAGATGAGAAACTTCACCAGCACCCAAAAATTCAATTTGCATTATAAAACTAGTCTGTTTTTTTTACTCACCCAGGAAATTCACTGAAATTCACTCGGAATGCTTGGAACAATTTTTCCCATTCATAATGTCCCTGGGAATATTCTGCGTTGTAAGTCAGTGAAGTGCACGCGGGAAGGCAATCGCAATCAGGGGAGGAACTGCTTCTTTCGGATTCATAGTTGGATATGCCATATTCTACTTCTCTTATCAAGAGTTCTTCTAGAAAATTTGGAAAGTTTCATTATTAGAGATGTATTCCTATCAAACAGGCCATCGAAAAAGTAAACACCACATCAAAAGAACACCTAGCATCTACAAAAAACTTCTATATACACTGAATTTTAATTTTGCACCTCTTCTCAGCTTATTAGTATATGATATCGTTAAGCGATAGAAGAAAACGAATTCGAAAAATGCTTGCCAAATATTTGCCTATTCTTATAGTAGTGATATTGTACTCTAATATTTTTTCACAATCTACCTATTTCCCTACAATTTCAATCATTATTTCATATCTAATTGAGAACATCTCCAACTTGTTGCTGCCTAGAATAGGATGATAGTACCTAATTATAATAAATGAAAGTTTAATGGAGACATATGTTTGAAAAATGGAATCTATATAAACCAAGGGGTTGGAAATTACTTTACGAAAAAGCCATGATGAATCAATGACTTTGACTCTGTGAATGTACTTTCCAAACAAAGAGTGAGAAATGGTGGCGAACCATTAAGTCGTAGCAAAATACTCATCAATATTATCAAATATGTTTTCAAGTGGCATTTTTCAAGTTGTATTTTGAACTAGATACAAGAATATTATATGCAACAAACACAAATGGTAGAGTACATAATTCCCAAGATGTAGATGTATGTATTAGGGTTTTTTACATGCACCAGTTCTTGCAGATCGATGGATAGGAAGGGAAAAACAGTGGAGTGACCTCTCGGTCTCAGCTCATCAGACTTTTTGTATAATTTCACAGAATCTACATTCTGTTCAGATGAACCTGCCATCATATATGCAATATCTTGCTAAGTTATCTCGAGAATCAGGAATCAGTTGACAAATGTTTTCAGGATCCTTCTTAAGTACAAATTTTATCAATATAAGATTAGACTAGCTCATGAATTGAACGAAGATGATTTCGATAGACGTATCAAGTTTTGTGGAAGTCTCACTGAACGGATCAACTGCCATCAGAATTTCTTGTGTGAAATTTGTTTTCTCCAATGAATTTTTGTTTAGTTTGAATGGAGAGGTGAATAAGTAAAATTGTCGATATTGGAGTGATACGAATCCTCATTTATACCGTCAATATTCAGCTTGAATTACAGAGATAACGTGACCCCTTTCATCAATCAACTTAATTGGTTAAAAATGCAAAACAGAAGAAAATTGCATTTCGCTTGTTTCATTCATAAACTGATAAAAACACAACAACCCACCTATTCGGTAAATAAACTCCTTCCCAGACATCAGATACACTCAAAAAACCTTAGATTTAACAATAATTTTGACATTCCGAATCATAACGATCCTTCACGTATCATGCTGTAACAATGTATAATTCATTCAGTGAATCTTTGAAAAATTCATCACTACCGCTATTCAACAGTAAACTTAAAAAATTGCTCCGCCAACAGTGATCCAAACATAAACATTTGAATTTAATCTTACTATTGTCCTGAAGTTGCCATTAATTTTTTGGATAATGTTTCTTTTTTTTCAAACGTGGTTGAGTGGAAGAATAGCGCTTTGCTAAACTCCGCCACGTAAAATAAAGACCATTTATTATTATTATTATTATAAGTTCATACCCAACGACCTCAAGAACTGAATGTTTGGGCAGGAATTTCAGGTGACCACATCATAGGACCTTTTTTTATCGATGATAATTTGACTAGTGATATATCTAGAGAATATCATGAGGCATTGCAGAGAAAGTCCCGAGCTTCTCAACCATATGAAGGCGAATATGGAAGCTCGTATCATTGAAAGGAAGTTGATGAAAACGTTTTTGAACATTTACTAAAAAGAAGTTTTTCTTCTCATTGTCCAGTCATCAGATTTTTATAAGCGGTTGAAATCTGCTCATCATGAAGCATCTGATAATGCGAAACAATATAGGGTGACCCGTTTAAAAAAATTGATGACATGCGATAGGGGAAGTAATATCAAATGTGATTATGTCAACAGGTACCCCCCTTTCTATTATAGTTGACGTGTTTTTCATTTTTGCTGTATATATTGAAACAGTCAAGGCAAACACGAGGTGTGATGTACAATTGAAATATATTCGATATCAAAATACTTACGTTTTGCTTCAAACATACATTCCTGACTTCCGGATCCACAAATTCGGGTTGTATTCTCATCTGAAAAAAAACTATATGAATCAAAAACAGACAGGAGGTGTAACGAAATGAAAACTACTCTCTCTAAGTTGTGGAGAATGAACATTCGGTCCTTGTCAATATCAACCCAAAGAGTATCTTCTTGAATTCTATACTTTTCAGAAAAACAATGAGTCAGTTTAAGTTTGTTCCATGTGACGTGAGTCGGATCGAATTTTCGAATGAAGTGGCTTACAGATTTTGTTGTTTATCAATTTGTAAGGAACATAAACTTCTCCACTTACGAAGACGACATCTACAGGATTCATAGAAAACTATAACCTCACTTATCCAAGATAAAGAACGGTTCCAACAGTGCTATATTGCAAAGCTGAGCTTCTCATGGAACGGTGACATGTTTCAGAAGCTCTGTAACTGTTCTGGCCAATGCAGGGGGCAACATTACATCCATAAAACGTCACGGTGGAAGATAGTTTGAATAACAAAATTGAGATTTCTAACAAAATATTGAATTGTCCAACTTCTTCGAACAAATTAAAATATCTAACGAAATTGTGAAATCAACTCTTCAAAAAGTATCCAACACTAGCTGACCCTGCGAACTTCGTTCCGCCTTAAAAGCAATGAAAAAGCACATTTTTTATTTGAATAATTTGATTTTTTCATTTATCAAGTATTCCAATTATTCTTTGCTAGGTTGCACTCTTTAGTTAAGCAAGTTGTGATACACGACATTTTTTGTTTTATTATCAGGCGCAAGTATAAACAACACAGATGGTGTTCCGACCCATGAACATGCCACATATAGATGACCATGTGAAAAACATTGATTTTCCAGATTCAGACTACAAACTTTCAATGATTGGCTTTGTGATTTGTTAATGGTCATGGCGAATGCAAGACGAATTGGAAATTGAAGTCTTTTAAACTCAAACGGCATATCACCTTCGAATTTTCCTTTGAGTATCATCGCGTGAATCACTTTGTTCATAAATTTACTTACCAGCAAACGTGTACCGTTGTAAAGTTTTGGTGCGTTTATGTTTCGAAGTATGATTACTATGGAGCCAACCTTCAGGCATAAATTGTGCGGTGGTAAGCCAGGCACATCCAAGGAGTTTAGAAACTCAGTTGGATAGTTGGTAGCTTCATCTTCATTTGTTACATAGTCAATTGATTTGAATGAATGCATTGTTCCAATGATATCATTCTGAATTATGTTGTTTAGATCATCTACATCTTTATTCTTAGCCGCTAAAATTGCTCGCTCACTCAACCATTCATTATTTTTGTAGTAAGTAATTATGTTTAGGTATACTTCGCTGATAAGTTCATCTTTCGATGAGACAAAGTTACAGACATTCTGAGGAAATGAAATCAATCCACTCGATTCGTCGACCAGTACTCGACCATTACCGATAGTCAGTAATTGCTCAAAGAAATCTTCAGCAGATGTATCATTAAGCAATGCAACTCTCATGTTTGTTGTTAGCTGAACTTTCTTCACATAGCGCCATAGATTCGATGGTTTGAGGCAAGCGTTTATTTCGTCGGCAGCCGTGTTTGGCGGAAATCGCCAGACAGTAAAATCATTGCACCTCCAAAACATCTCGTGTCATTGCGTAGATCTTTCAATGTTCAGTTAAATGCCTCTAATACACGTTTGTGCGCCATGCTACATTCGTCCCATATGATAATTTTCGATGCTGAATAAACGTTGACCATTGCGAAGTTTTTTGAAATATCACTTGCTGGTTCTTCAACAGTTTGAAGATTTACCGGCAATTTTAATAATGAATGAACCGGACGGCATCCTTCTAACAATGTGGCTGCTATTCCAGAAGAAGCAACTGCAAGCGCAATGTTAGAACAGTAGCTAAAACTAATGACATCAGAAATGTCCTACCAGTTCCACCAGGGCCATCCAAGAAATATAAACCACCATTTCCATCATCAATTGCCTTCAATAACCATTGACAAAATTACGTTTACCTGTCATTTAGTGGAGATCATGGAAAGAACTCTGAAGAAAGTCGGTAATCATTATGAAATAGGGCACTTATGGAAACGTGACAACCTTACTCTACCGCCTAGTAAAACTAATGCCCTGAATCGTTTGTATTGTATGGAACGAAAAATGGACAAGGATGCCAAATTTGCTGAAGGTATACTGCAAAGATTACTGAGTATCTTCAAAAAGGATATGCCAGGAAATTACATCCATCTGAAGTTCAGAATAATAAAAACAACTGGTATCTTCCACACTTTGGGGTTACGAATATCAGCAAACCTGGAAAGATTCGCCTGGTTTTTGACGCTGCGGCAAAATCTCAAGGTGTGAGTCTTAACGATTTCCTTTACCAAGGTCCTGACTACGTTCCATCTTTGGTATATGTCTTGTGGCGATTGAGACAGGGAAGAATTGCTTTTGGAGGTGATATCAGAGATATGTTTCATAGAGTTTCAATTATCGAGAAATACAGATGTGCACAATTATTTTTATGGCGAGGTATGGAGAGAAACCAAAGTCCAGATGTTTACGAAATGAAGGCGATGATTTTTGGTGCAATATTGTCCCCGTCTGCAGAACAGTTTGTAAAAAACAAAAATGCAGCGTGTTTTTTAGATAATTATCCAGGGATTGTCCGTGCAATGGAGAAACAACATTACGTCGACGATTACTTGGACTCTTGCCATACGATAGATGAAGCTATCGATAGAATTCGAAACGTTATTGTTGTTCATAAAGAGGCAAATTTTGATATGGTGAAGTGGATAAGTAATTCAAGTGAAGTAATGCAGTCAATTCCAAAGAACCTGCGTGCTAATTCTCAAGTAGATGTGGAACTGGACTCAAAAATGTTAGAAAGAGTTCTGAGCATATCCTGGTCTCCTACCACTGACGATTTTGTATTTATACTGAACCTGAAAAAAATCCCTGATGAAATCTGCCATGGAGAGAAAGTACCAACAAAAAGGGAAGTACTGCGCACGGTTATGTCAGTATTTGACCCGCTTGGTTTTCTTGCTCCTCTCATGATAAATGCTAGAATTCTGATTCAGAATATATGGAGAAGTCATGTTGATTGGGATCAAGCTATAACAGAAGAACTTTTCTACACCTGGCTGAAATGGTTGACCCAATTGAAACATTATACTCCTGTCACTATCAATAGATATTACATTCCTAATTCTACGTTAATCAACAAAGTTGATTTGCATTCATTTTCCGATGCAAGGATAAGGCATATGCAGCAGCCGTCTTTTTGGGGATGGTTGAAAATGACGAAGTCCACATTTCATTTCTAGCAGCAAAATTCAAAGTTGCTTCAGTGAGTCAACAAGCCATCCCGAAATTGGAGTTACAAGGAGCAGTGCTTGCATGTAGAATGGCAAAATCTATAAGGAAGGAACTGGAATATGAAATTGATAAAGTTTACTTCTGGACTGACTCAATGGTTGTTATTCATCAAATCAGATCTGAATCAAGAAGATTCCCGATTTTCATAGCTTGTCGACTTGGAGAAATTCACGAAGACTCTGATTTGTCGCAATGGCATTGGTTACCCTACCTTTCTTTGTTATTCCATATCAGATGCGTTTTTGCTATACAACGTTTCATAGTGATTTCTTGGTGACTTCACGGTTTTCTATGTCCCTCTCCTTGTTCTAAGCTACCTCTCCACCAATTTTCAGCCAAATTGGTTCATCCGATCTTGAGTTATAATTAGTGTAACTAACACCACTTTTTTAGAACGTACTTGCCGAAGCCATGAAAAGTAATTTCCTCATTGGGAATTTCCGTCATATCTCAAAATAAATAATATCTCTGGGAAAGGAAGGTTTTGCCTTTCTCCTCCTTCACCTCTATACAAAAACTGTGGGAAACTTGCAAACGAAAAAAGAAAGGAATTCATTCATTCATTCAAAATGAACTATTCATGTTTTAGTGGGGTTTTTTCCCAACACCAAACCTCTTCAAGAGGAAGATCTTCCTCTTGAAGATGATTACTTGGTGATCGAAACACGTGTCGAGGTGTTAAAATAACGGTTTGGTGTTGGGAAACAAACTCTAGTAATATTCATCACTACACCAACGGTTCCAAACAGTGCATCACAAGTATTCATGTGCGAATCACGCTTAGAAGTCAGTTTCAGATACAAACTGGAATAAATAGCCTCCTCGACACAACTAGGTACGTTTATGTAAACAATGAATAACACGAAAGAAAAAATACTTTCGAAAAACTACTCACCAATTGATACTGTTGGTTGTTACGAAAAACAATTTTTCGTATACAGTTTGTACTCCAAACATTCCTTATAAAATCAGGACTACTTGAATTTTCAATAACTTGACGAAGTAATTACTGGACTCGACTTGACGTTGATAATTGACATTGAAATGATAATATTTATATTCACTTCGACTGTTATACATTTCAAATATCTTGTAATGCCAGAAACATCTCCGCTGTGTATGAGGTGTGCAGAAGAATCAGAGGCAGTCTATTTCGCGTCGCTCACAAGAACTTGGCTTTTCACAGACGAGGTACGGATATGCAGTTGGTTAGTACCTAGTCCATTAGATGAAGTGACATTTTTGATGTTCGCTCCAACTTAAGACGAGCAATAAAATACTCTGAAAGAAATTTAAAGAAATGAACTTTAAATGTTCAAGCCAGTCTCGAATATACCTACACGGTAGGTTGAATGGACTGACGCCTATCAGAAAACAACTACTCCCCTGGCTAATACCACGAAGGGCGTTGGATTATATCCGACAGGCGTCAGTGCAGAAATCTTCATTGAACCTACTGTGTAGGTATATTCGAGACTGGCTAGAGTTCATTTCTTCAGATTTGTTTACTGCCAGTCTTTAAGCATAGCCCACTGACTAATAAGAAATATTTTCTTCCTTATTCAGAGGAACCGGGCAAATTTCGGCCATGATGATGATGGCCAGCATCTTACATTGATGAGTGGCTAATGAGCCCGAAACCGGTCTGCAAGTTTGCCTGTTCCAAAATGTCGACTCTCTCAGTTGTATTGCCAAATTGCATATGCAGGAAATTTTCTGTGAAGATTCCTTCACTGACACCTGTCGGATATAATCCAACTCCCTAGAAAAAGGTTTTCAAATTGATACAATTCACACTGATTTCAGTAAACCTTTGATAGGGTAAACCACGGTGTGCTGATTAATATACTTCAAGAAACAGGTTTTCCAACATGGTTAACATTTCGGTTGAAAAGTTATTCATCGGATAGAAACCAGTTGGTAAAAATTAAAAACCACATTTCCAGTGATATTCATGTTACATTTGGTGTCCCGCAGGGATCACATCTGGGCCCACTTCTCTTTAATATTTTTATTAATGATATAGCTCTCAACTTTCACTACTGTTAATGCCTTATCTTCGATGATGATCTCAAAAATTATATGCCGGTCAACTCCGACATAGACTGTGAAAACCTTCAATCTGATTTGAACGCATTAAACATTTGATCACAAAATAATGGAATGTCACTCAATATTGACGAATGCTATTGTATTCAGTTTTCTAGGTCCAATAATCCTATTCAATCCGATCGTCGAATTGAAAACAGCGTTGAACGGGTATTTGAAATTCGCGACACCATATTGACTACGTAGTTAGTGAAACTTCTTAGCTATTGGGTTTCGTTTCTAGAAATTCTGAAAATCTATCTGTTATGGCTTTCAGAACGTGAAAAAACGGGAAAAACCCGTGCATAGTAAAATAAATGAATAAATAATATCGACATTTTCAATAGCACAAGAGTTATATTGCCGATCTTCTGATAACTACTTGTTTGAAAACGATATTACCTGCTGTACCTCAAATTGTTAATTTATTGAATACGTCTTCAAACAATGTGACCAGATTTCTGTCAGAAATACAAGTAATCCTCATTTTCTTTTTGTGTTTCTTTCTCTCAAGTTTCTATAGCTTTAAAAAACAAAGGAATATACTCTTCGGTTTTGCACTCAAATCTCTCAAATACTCAACAATATTCTTCATAATATAACTTTGTTATCACCTTCCACCAATCAAATATAATATTCCCTATGACTACCTTGAGTTTTTCTTCCATTACTTCACGATGTTCATTGGTTAAATTATGAACATCAAAAGAAATATTTTCCCATAGAGTACCTTGAATCCTTGAACCGGGCCCTTGCAAACATAGTCCAAATCTGGTAGCCATGCCATTAGAACTAAATTAAGACCAGCAGAAGAACCAGCAGATAGAGCTCTTCTAGGAAAAGTTTCCATAGGAGCGTCTTTGGGATACCCATTTTCCAATGTCCATCCTTCTGATTCCCTTCCATGCTGCATGTATTCACCCTCCATGAACCTTGAAAGAATAATATGATGAAATACAGGAAATATTGCAAATTAGCTTCTATTCGTCTAAACTTGATTCCGAATACTAATCCTAAATTTCCATAACATTGTTGAAATCGAAATGTATTATATAAAGGAGAGACTACGAACTGCATAATGAGTAGTAAGACCTCGTTAATCCTCAATTTCTCAAGTTTCGTCTTTTGGGGACTGCGGAGTTCACAATAGGTACAATTAACGAAATACAGATTTTTTTTAAACGAATATGTAAGAAAAATATTTCTTTATATAATAGCACTAGATGCAAAAACAGTTTCATCTACTGAAATTTGAATGTATTTCTACAATTTGTGAATAATGAATTTCATCAGTACCTATATTGAACGTGGAATAAATCACATAATTCGAACCGTCTTGAAAAACACTGGTACAGTATTCATCACTTTCTATTCTGTCCACTCCAAAGTGGTCCCCATCAGATATTTTACACTTGTGCCAGCGTTTTACAATTCTCAAAGCATGTACTTTTTGGTATGTCTGCTCAATTGTCACAAAACGCCTTCTTTTCATAGGTCTTCAATCTTAGGAACAGAAAAAATTCGCAGAGGGTCAAATCTGGTCAATACGATGACCGAGGCATCTATACCTCTGTATCTGTAGAGTTGGGAGGGTGAGTGTAAGCCCACGCACTTAGGCCACATGTGACCCATTGTACATCCTCCCGAGGAGTTGTCCTCCTAGGTCATCGTCCCTCCTGTTCTTTCCAGGAAGGTGGACAGGTCGCTGGGAAACATCTCCTTTATATCGGCAGGTGTAGGCCAAGACTTGCCGAACACACACTCTCTTATTGACAATAACTCCGGGCACTCGCACAGGACATGCCTGACAGTCTCATCTTCCTGTTCACACATCCTGCATAGAGGTGTGTCCACTAGCCCCATATTACGTAGGTGTTTCCTTAGCTGACAGTGGCCAGTCAGAAATCCTACTGTAAGGCGTAGATTTTTCCTGGTCATCGCCAGATATTTCTTCGGCGCCAGCTTCCCAGGGTCGCCCAAGGTGATCCTGGCAAGTTTACATCCTTTGATTTCATCCCATCTCTTCAACAAGCAAAACACTCCTGACTTTTATGCCTCTCATACGTAGCTCGCGAAATTTGAAACATTTACCTTATTTTCTCAACAGACCTTGTATTTCACATTTTCACCAATTTTTTTTTTTAAATAAGGAGCACTTACACCTTTTTACGGAACAATTCACTTCTATCCAGCATGTTGAAAGTGAAACACATGCCATCTTCCGTTAACATTGGGTAAAACATATTGTAGCAGCTTTCATTCATAGAAGTCCATTTACAAGTGAAAAATACATCTTCAAATTGAGGACCGATCTGAAAGAATTAAAATCGGTCAGTATATTCATGCCTGTCTTCCACACAACCCACTTCTGACACAAAATTTCACACACAAAGCTCTGGGCTCATACTTCCTAGTTTTGCATTTCAGAAAAACCGAAGAGATTCAGCTTAGAAAGAGGGTGTTAGCTTCTTCGAAAAATTGAAAGTTATGTGTGACACAATAATTGGGTTATTCAAAGGAAAATCGATTATTTCGGTGAATCAGTTATCAGAATAGTAGCTCAACTTACCGACATAAGGTACTTGATTGTTTCCAGTTCGGTATATTTTTCTCCTCTTGTATACAGATGATTGTCACAAATCAGAGAACTATCAGAAAACTTCTTCAGCCTGAAATATAAGTTTTTTCGATTTATCGTTTCATTGAAGACATTTTGTTTCTGAAATATCTGAAAACTGTACTCTGTACTAGTCTGATATTTAAATAAGCTACGGGTATGATTTCCATATCAAAATGAGTCCCCCTAGAAATGAAAATTGGGGTAAAAGGGGCGCGTTCACATATTTAAAATATCTTTTAATTAGTGTTCCTCTATACCGCTATATTTTTGGAGGCTGAAATTTTGTATATAGGTTCGTTTTATATCGTAACTGTGCAATAAGAAAGGATTTTTAATTGAATATCTCAACTGAGGCGCTAGCCGCGGGAGAAAAAGGCGAGTCCATGAAGCAAAATTATCTTTTCGTCACCGTTTCTTCATGCCCTTAAATTTTTGGTGGGTGAATTTATATTCAGTATCAGCATTGCACCCGTACGTAGCCAGGACGGCTCGCTAGTATAATGTAAACGAGTACTGTAACGACATATAATTCTGTCTTTATGATATTTTATGAATAAACTAGATTACAAATTTTATTTGGCACTTCTAAATACCTAATAGTACCAATTTGCGTTAAACAGAATATATAAAAAATTACAATGTAGTGTCTAATCTATAGTTATGACTCAGATACTTACTCATCATCAGTCATATTATTTCCCATCACAAACTGTTTGTAAGCTTCAGTAAAATTGTACTTTCTCTGTCTGGATTTCGTTTCTGAACAAATTGTTATAGCCGGAAAAGGAATTTGCCAAACAGGGGTGGGGCTTCTAGCGAAGCTTACTAAGACTGGGGAAGCGTCCCACTTCATCCATGTTTTGAAGATCTGATCGATACACACGTATAAGGAAATGCAGAACAGGATAATCCACCACAATCTGGAAAGAGGTTGAAGCAATAATCCAATGGGGGCACATTTTAGATATTCATTTATTTACAGTATAGTACAAGATAACTAGAATCTATGATAGGCCAACGTCTTAATTTAGCCACATTTTCCTTTCATCTACCCGCAGATTTTGCATATCTACTTATTTCTTAATATCTCAATTTTCTCAAAGCATCATCTATCATTCGTAACTATAGTAAACTTTTACAATTTCTTTTTTTGAACATTTTCTTATTTCAAATAATTTTATTTCTGGTTCATACTAGTTTACAAATTATATCTGTTATATTAATTCCAAAAATCATTAATTTCATTTCCAAATTTTTAATTTGACGTTTTTCTCGCAAGTCACGTGAATGCTATTGGAAATTGAATCCACATGTTTCTAGAAATGATATAAAATCTATGAAAATCAAAATATAAATAGTTGACTTGGATGTCACACCAATAGGTGTTTCGACTTTTGCATTTACGCAGTTATTTTTATCAAGTACTTTTCTTGGTTATTCACATTGTGTCTTCAATCGAGGACCGCCTGCCCGGTACTAACGATGTCCAATAGGCTGAAACAGCTGTCTACCGGTGGCTCTTAAATTGAAGTCAATATGGGAGTGATTGGAATGGTACTTCTCTATTTATCTTTTGATCTTTATGGAGTTATTTTCCATCTAAGTGAGATTTCAAAATCGTTTTGGAATCCATTATTACTTCATTATTACTCACCTTTCGAATACGGATCGGTCCTGTTCACCCATATACTTGAATCCGTGTATTCCAGTATAATCGGTGAATTCTTGAAGGTAATATTTGAAGTTTTTCCTGAAGCCAGGATATTTTCTCCTAGGTTTCAAAATGTCTTTCCTCATTTCCATTTCTTTCATTTCTATCCCATTTTTGGTATTGGAATCCAAGTCTTCAGCAAAAGTACCATTCATTTTGAATTATTATCTGGAAAATACTATCGCACATATTATTGATTCATTAATGTATAAATCATCAACAGACTGAACAACAGCATCTTCTATTTTGTCATGTGCTACTCTAAACCTGTCAAATTTGATATTTTTTCGAAAATGTCCAAGAAATCGGTTTTTTTTTTGTTCAATTTCCAATGTAATACCTTTTCGCCAAATCTGAAGCAACTACTGTCACCTCAATTTTTTTTCCAATTTTGTCAATTTTCTGAATCTTTCGCTCTGCAATTCAAACGAAACATTATTGAAATTTCGTAATACATCTCTGGCTGTATCTATGCCATGCTGGTAAACAGAACAGACGACTCTTCAAGGCGAGGCCATCAGGTTCAGGGTCGCCAGAGGCTGCCCTCAGGGTGAGGTACTGTCTACCCTTCTGTGGTCGTTCCTGATGGTTAGTCTGCTTGACGCCCTCGGCAGAAGAAAAGTAGATCTGCAAGCTTATGCAGATGACCTTGTCATCTTGGCAAAGTCGACGTCGGGCAGAGTAGCCTGTAATATCCTCCAAAGCACGATGGACGTTGTTCACAGTTGGTGTCTGAGGAAGCAGAAATCTGTCAACCCCAACAGAACTGTGATAATCCCCTTCAGCAGGAGGAGAAAATTGGACGATCCAACGCCACTTTCCCTCAATGGCGAGGTCATTCCATTTGGAACGGTAGTGAAATATCTTGGCAGTGTCCTCGATAAAAAATTCACCTGGAACGCTCATTTAGAAAAAGTTTTACACAAAGCCAGATTATCCCTATGGATATGTCGAAGGATTTGTAGTAGAACTCGGGGGGTTTAGGTCCCAAACAAATCCATTGGATTTATGTGATGATTATCAGACCGATGATTACTCATGGTGCAATTGCCTGGTGGCCGAAGGCTTTACAGAAAACAGCCCAGGCGAAGCTCTCTGGCTCACAGAAACAGGCTTGTCTGGCCATTAGTGGTGCCATCAGTATCACACCGTCAGCGGCCATGGTGATCCTTCTAGATCTATCTCATCTCCACAGTTTTCTGGAAATAGAGGCTATAAGGATTCCATTGCACACGAATGGACTGTATTGCATATTGCCAATTGCACGAAACATTATGATGCAGATTACAACAGACTGTTGGTAGTGTAGTGTTCACTAGTAGAGAGGGATAGATCCTTCGGGAGAAGGAAATATTAGGAGCAGATAGTTGTTGGTTTACAGATAGATCAAAAACACCTTCCACCTGCCTAGGAACCTACGCGACTGAAGTTCAAGCGGAAATTCATGATATTGGATTCCTGGCCATACTGGTCTGGAAGGCAATTAGGTTGCTGACTCCCTTGCGAAAAAGGGTGCTGCAAGCAGGTTCATCGAACCACAACCTGTTATTGGCATCGCTTTAGGCTTTGGCAGATAAAAATTGAACACCTGGATGTCAAGAAGACTTATACTTCTGGCAGAATCTTCCAGGATTGGCTCACTCCAAGACGTTCATTCACCCTTCAAAGATTGATACTAAACAGTTGTAGGACTACAGTAGGGATGGACTACGATGTCTAAGAGGCATTGAGCTTCAAATGACAGGTCACTGTCATTTGAAGCTCAATATACAGAGACTCGGCCTGTCGGAAAACGGTGTGTGTCGCAGCAGAGCACATACTTTGTGCATGCCCCGCTGGGAACCAAATCAGGTTTTAAGAGTTCGACAGAGCTGTATTCTTTCCATCTGACCTGAAAGACCACTCATTATACAATATAATCGGCTTCGTTAAGAAGCTGTGTTTATTTGGTCGAGTGTGAATAGATGTGAGCCACAATAAACCTTGGCGGGTTGCGGTGGAGGGTCGAATAGACCCACTCACTTTAGAACTAACCTATCCTAACCTACTTCTTTGAATGATCTTCTCATCTTTGTTTAAAGTTAATTTTGAAATTGATTACTTCCTTCCTTTCTTGATAAAATTTCCATATTTTTTTGTATAAGCACGGAAAAGTAGAAAGCTTAAATCTTTTTTACCCAAAAATACTGGTTCTTCTGAACTGTAACTTCTTTCTTGTTTCACCAACTAATTTGTATTCATGATGATCAAAACTCAAATCTGGTTCAGATCTGCTAATGACGTAAACTTGATTCGTGAAGAATAGTGTCATATTTTTGTAGTCAAAAATATCACTGCTGAAGTTATGAAATATCTGAATGCAATGATGAACTAATCACGGCCAAAAATTCCATTGGAGGAAAACTGAACTAATTATCAGTGAAAATTCATTCCGATCTGATAAAATCAATATTTGCATCGATTACAAATCTATGGTAACGAAAATATTTGCTACACACATGGAAATGAGAGAGGGACACTTGTTAGATAATAGTTCTATTTGACTCACCTCAGGACAACTCGCTTATAGAGAAGAACTCGAAGACTGAATGAGGAAAGGGCGTTTTTTGTTTTCTGGAGGTGTTTTTTCACAAGGGACATTTTTTCAGGCACGCGATCCCTTATCGATCAACCATCTTTTTCACAATATATGTTGGATTTTAATAAACTACTTTGTTAACACTCCACTCCCTGTATCGGGGGAATACAATTGATTAAGTTCATATTTTTTTCATACTAACTCAATATTAATTAGTAAAATTGTCAAAACAGGCAGACGTGGGAAGATGTTAATTAATATTTTTATGCAGTCTGTCCCATGGGAGGAAAATTGGTTAGTGGAAAAAATACCGTTGAAATGTAACATTGAAATCATTCGTGAAGAAATAAAATTAATAAAAAGCTTCAAATATATATTTTATTTCACCTATATTAAACGTTTTTTTAGCTGATACCACTATTGCTATCTGGGAAACGGTAACACCAATAAGGTCGGTTAAATTTTCGTTACCCTTCAAAATTGCAATAGTTAACAGGCTGTTAAAGTTGTAGTTCCTATGGATTAATAGCAAACAGTTGCTTTAACCTAAATTAATTTCACAATCTTGCCTATCTTCAGATAGGCAATATTGTGAAATTAATTTTTATATATCTGAAAATTGTTTTATATACAGCTATAACAGTTAAACATATATTGTAAAATAATAGATAAGGCAAAATTGTAAAATTAATTTAGATTGGTATACCTGCATGAATGGTACACCTGAATGGTTTACCTGTATGGGATATCTATATAGCATAAATAGCGTCAGCTTCGCGTTAGTTTCTAGTTTAATTTTCCTCTTTGAACGACACGTGTTTCGAACACAAAAACACGTATCGAGGTTTTAAAAGTAACGATTTGGTATTGGGAAAAAACTTCAGTAATATTTTAACTACTCACTCATGATGGACTATTCAGAAACTCTTATGTTATGATAAATATCACTGGAATTTAATCCCAACACCAAACCGTTATTTTCAACACCTCAACACGTATTTTAATCACAAAGTCATCATCTTCAGATTAGACTCAACTGTTTAGTTTCATCTTCCTCTTGAAGATGATCCACTGTAAATTGTTTGCAAAGAGAATGGACTTGAATTTGAGAAACAAAGAACCTCTAATTCATCGTCTTATCGACTCCGACTCTGACATCAGCGATCTGGACAGCGAAGATATTATGTCGGGCAAAGAAAGCCAAGTGGCAACGACCCCAAAAAGGAGCCAGAAACGGCTCAACAAATCAAACAGTTAAAACCCGGTTTTTCCCAGACTAAATGGACCAATGAGCCAAAATCAAATAAAACTACATCCGCCTTATCACAAAAGCCGGGCGTGGCACTGGAAGATCAAATTCAGAAGCCCACTCAGAAAACTAAGTCGGCAAATATAGAGGAAACAGAAGTCCCGCCACCTGACTCAGTGAAAGTAGGCGACGAAGAACTAGTAACAGACGCCTCGAAAAATGACCGGGCAGAAACACGCAAAAAAGCGGATAAGCCTCCACCTATAACCATCCGCCCAAAAGGAAAGTGGAAAGCTTTCAACACGATTTCTGCTGCCCAAAAAATCTCCATATTGCGGGCGGTGAACACAACAGATGGAATTGAAGTCCACCTTAAAAATACAGATGATTATCGGAGAATCACTCGGATCTTCGATCAAAAAAAAATACCCTACCACACTTATACAATGAAAAGCGAAAAACCACTCAGAGTAGTTTTTCGCGGGGTCACGAAATCCATAGAGTGTGACGCCATCAACACTGAACTCCAGGGCAAAGGATTTGAGATCATTTCCGTAGCCCGCCTGAGTAAAGCTAGCAAGGTACCGATACCGTTCGTGCTTGTTTTAGTTACAAGGAGCCAAAACAAAATATAATAGATCACCGAAATTCAAAACGTGCGTGTAAGCGCCGAAACACAGAAGCCGAGAAACCGAGCAGGGGCAATGTTACAGATGCCAAAAGTTCGGTCACACGCAACGGAACTGTACAGCAGTTCCAGCCTGCGTTAGATGTGCCTGACGGCACATGACCAAGGAATGCAAAAGACCTAAAAACTCGCCCTTGCGATGCTTTAACTGCAAGAGAGAACACCCAGCGAACTTCCATGGGTGCCCATAACGCCCCGAAAATAAAAGGGCCTCAGATAGGCCGATCTGAAACAGACAGACCACAAACCCAAGACCTGTCGGAAAAAACTCAATCAGGAGCGACGTCTTGTATGCGAAGGCCGTCTGATCGTCAGAGAACGCCTGCAGCTCTCCCGAAGGTCTCCCAACGGCCTTAGGGCAGCTGCAGGCGCTTCTAGTGAAGTTTCCGGTACTGCAATCCATTCTTGTCGGAAAATAAAACAAGAAACAGTGCCTAAACGGCCGCAAAGCCAACGAAGTACGCTGTGACTTCTACACACAGGGCAAAGAGCCAAAAAAAGACGACAGAGGACCATGCAATCCCCTGCCGCCCCGCCACAGGAACCCAAGAAAAACTCAAACAGCCGAAAGGATAAGGGGCCCTAGGCCCATAAATCTGACTTAAACAAGATAACGAACAGCGATATAGCAACGAATAGAGACAGAAACTGTAATACTCTGGTCTGAATACCATAAACGGATTTAAACAAAATATTTCCAGAAAACACTGGGATGAGAAAAGGTAATAATAATAATAAATTTGAATTAAAATCAAAAGAGACGTTAAGATTGAACAGCAGTAATGGAAATACGTTTTTCTTCAATTGATATTGAATGTCATTTTGAGTGACATTTATTGATCAAAGAAATGATGCCAATGACATTTTTGATGCCTAGGCGATCAAAATAGCTTTTTTTCAAATTTTGGGCTGCATATTTTGCAACAAAATCATTCCATAGATATTAGTTCATTAAGAATAATTGGACAACAACAGGCATCTAGATGCCTATGAAAGTGTAGAAAAAGTAAACATAATGATTCTATGAATAACGATAGTCGACCAATTTCTAACACTATATACATGGCTTGTTGAAATAATATTGTATTATCAGATTTACATGATTGTTAGATAAGGCAATATTATAAAATTCAATTAAGACTAGTAGATAAGGCAGCATGTGAAATTAATTCACGACAATTGAGACACAGGAACCTAGCAGAGGTATCTAGGGTATAAATAAGGAGAATATTATCCAGTGCTTTTCTTAAATGTCCCCTTCCCCTTCATTTTTTGAACGGGTAAACTAAAAAATTGAAATTTGGGATAAAGAAATTAATGCTTGAATACCTTATTTTGAAGTGAAATTGACAGATGAAACTTTCAAGAAGGCGACTGGGAGCCAGATGGGAAGGAGGGTTTTATGACACATCATTTTGAAGCTTCTGACGAATACTTCACAACCTTTGAATATGAAGTCAATATCTTCTCCTACTACAAAATGGCGTCCAGTGTACGTCCAGTACACTACCTGTAGTACAGTATCCAGTTAAAAATATTGACATCATATTCTAGGGTCGTGTCAGGAGCTTCAAAAAGGTGTGTCACAAGAACCCCCTTTGAAGGTTAAAAGAAAACTCTGTTGAAAATCTGTTTTTCTGTTAACCAGCTGTCGCTCTCTACGAACGACGACCCTCAGAAGTCCAAACTTGTGCGAGCTAAGGATTAACGAGGTCTTACCTTTTAACGTGTGATTCCTAGACTGAAGGATCAGCAGTTTCATCCCTATAACTCAATAACCATTTAAGAATTGCAAGATGATTATCTATGAAGAATAAAATTTTGTAACTGGTTCCTAACGGAAAACAATCAAAATATCAATTTCATCATTCATATTTTATTCAACAATGAAGCTACCTTCAATAGAAAAAAAGCCTCATGCAAAAAACGACTCATCACCAAAATACTTTTGGAAATGATATTAGGGTAGGCATTGTGAATAATAATTCAAGAGAACCGGTACTTCTATCAAATAATTCAAATGATGCAAATTACTTACATTTGTTACAAAATGATTCACCAGGAAACTCGGACGAGGTGAATTTAGGAATAATAAAATTGAGTATTAACAAGATGGAGCACCAGCACATTTCGATGACGAAGTTACCAACTATCTTTTTGATCTGTATTCCGGACGTTGGATTAGAAGGGGTCTTGATGCACCTTCTTTGCCAACCAAAAGTCCAGATCTCAACCCCATCGACTTTTGCTTCTGGGGTTTCATGAAAAAGTGCATGTTTTCTATTGAAATAATCGACGAACAACAACTGAGGCATCGAATTATCGAAAGTGCAAATCGATTTCGTCAGAATCCTATGATCTTCCAAAAAATTGGGTTTTTCGGTTTTAACAGTGCCGGATGTGTATTCAGAAAAATGGAGCCATTTTGAACATTTGTTTTAGGAAATACCATACATTTGTTTATATTTTTTGTACCTGCGAATAACATGAATATTCCGTTATTATAACTTACTTTTCGGTACTCAAAATTTTTGCCGCGTTCGATAAAAACTGGCTTTTCAAAAATCAAAGAAGTGTTACGGCGTGTCGTGAAAAAACACGTAAAATTATGTAATAAACCAATAGTGCCACAAATGACAGTAAGTAGTTGTTAGCAACTGTTTGTAATTTATCTGTAGGAACTACAAGGATACAAAGAATAATATGAAAAAGAGCCCACATCTCTTTTTTTCAAGGACAGAAACACAAGCACTACAGGAAAACCTTTAAGGCGCTCTAAGAACGCTGCCTGTGCAAAAGTAGCGATTCTCATTGAATTTGAATCGTTGGAGATTGAATTCATTTGGAAAAACGTTCCCAGGAAGTTTATCCCACATAAACACATTTCTCTAAATGGAAGAGTTTGTCATAACTGAAAGATGTTCAGAAAATCCCAAGTAAATTAGATAATTGAATATATTTTACAGAAATAGGTAGTTGTCACGGTGTCTTTTGTAAAAATATGCAAAAAAATTAACAGAAATTGCTATATCTAAAAGATTATTTTTCGGTAAATATACTTACCATTACTGAAAACGCATTTTGTGTCCATTATTTCAGAACTGATATATTACAACCATACAGTTTATCAGATGAAATTTCACATGTCATGATCGTGCTTCCCAGAGAACCAATTTAAAAAAGAATCGAAAATATCAATCTCAAATATAGTCTATTTCCTTTAGATGAATAGTGATAAATCAGGTGACTGTTTCACAGGCTCCTCATCATAAATATAAACTCTTAGACATTACCACGAAGATAAATTAATAAAACACGAACTAAAAAGGTATGTAGTATATTATTTTATTCAGTACGTAGACAATTCTTCGTTAGCATATATTGAATAAATTTCTTTATATTTTTCATAGTTCTTGATATTCTTCTCAACTGCCAGCGTAGTGTTGATATTCAAGTAAAAGAACTCTTGTGGTGTAACTTTTGGCCACACAATATTTTGAAGTAGTTCATTTTTCCCTTCAGTTGGATTCCTGAAAACAAAGTATTTCTCATGACATCACATCTTTGTACAAAACAATAACGTTATTGGAAAAAATAATTTTCAAAGAGTTCAATCTGTTAGAAAATGTTTTGAACAGAAAATTATTGTGAGATATTTGAAAGTGAATTAATTACTGAAATAATAGAGACATTCTGAACGATTTTTTTACTGGAAAGATGACAAATTCGACATATCCAATGCATTACTTCATTTGTTCTGAAGAATTCACTGCTACTAATTATCCTAGCAATAAGCAAGTGTACTGATAGTCACTCATAATGATTTCTTTTGGCATGGAAGTCAAAGATGTTACTACGAGTAAATGAGATAATAATAATAATATTCATTCACGTAGGAAAGAAGAAAACAGAACAGTGTAGTAAGAAGATAAAGTGAATAAATGACTACTACTACCATGAAGATAGTAACACTTAAATAGAATATCAGTCATTTGTCATCGGAAATTATACGAAAACTCTCATACTTACAGATACTTGACAAACTGTGACCACATGGTAACAAGTCGATCGTGTGTGATTCTATCTTCTTCAGGAAATTTACTCAGATCTCTGTTGTTTAAACATCGAAATAAATATTCAATTTCTTCTTGATGAGCGACTCCTTCGGCACCTTGAAAAATATAAAATAATGTTGAACCATTCGGAATATTAATGTTTATAACGTATTTTTCAGGAACGAAATATGTCTTTCTGTTTCTCTTGCATTTGTGAAAAATCATAATAGTCATTCATTATGTAACTGAGAGGTAAGTTTCTTCTTTCGAAAACCGCAAACGAGCAACTCGAACTTTCTTGGATGATAGAAGATTGCACGAAAAGCTGTGAGCCAGAACCTAATTACAAATTTTTCCAAGTATGAGCTTTTGTTCCCTCTGTTCTGAATCTAAGAAAAAAACATGACTGAAGTAGCACCGTAACACATATCCTGAGAGATTTTGTCATCTTCTGGCCTATATAAGTTTGGACAACTTTCAAACTGAAAAGTGCGCAAATTAATTCGCACCAGTATTTTGCAGATTTTTCAACCTGTACTACAAGGAAGGGGTTTTTCTTCCTCTTTGGAAGATTGTCCGCGGTCTCCGAAAAAGGACAAATAATTATAGACCGGTCACTTTACCATCAGTAATACCAAAAATCATAGAGAAAGTCGTAAACCATCATATCCTCAAATATTTGGAAGGCTTCAACATCTTCAGCAATCATCAATATGACTTTCGGAAACAAAGATCGACATTATTGGGAATAAAGCAATCGTCAAATATGGAGAATCAAGAGCTGTTGCGCTTGATACTTCTAAGACATTTAATCGTGTGTGTCATGAGGGTTTGCAGGCCAAAATTCGATGCTATGGATCATTTCTGTGTATAGCTCTTCAGTTTCCTGAAAAAGCAGTCACTGCAAGTGATCGTCGATGCATATCTCTCGAATACTAAGTAAGTATGTTGTCGCATTTATTGAGGACGTCTTTTACTTCGGCAATCATCTTTTGTAACGACAATTTCGCAAACGTTCCGATTGGCATACCTGTATGGGTGGTACGCCTGGATGGTTTACCTGAATGGGATACCTATATAGCATAAATAGGGTTAGCTCGCAATAGTTTCTAGTTTTAATCTTCCTCTTTGAAGATGATCACTTGGTGATCGAAACACGAGTCGAGGTGTTAAAAATAACGATTTGGTGTTGGGAAAAAACTCCAGTAACATTCATTACTACACCAAAGATTCCAAACAGTGCATCATAAGTTGGTTAATTCAGTCATTAGAAATCAACTAAAACTATTTCAGTAACAAAGTCATTCAAAAAAACTCAACCAACGATTGAAAAAACAATAAAGTCCAATTCTGATCTCAGAGGAACATGAGATTTAGATCGGGTGAATCCTCAAGTGGCAATAAAAGTAATGATTCCAGTTCCGAAATTGCACATAATCATAAATCTTTCACAGTAAAGTAACGGTTTGGTATATAATTCAACTTCTTCTTCGTTCAGAATGATTGAAATGAAGGGGAAGAATTTTTCCCGTTCTGGTGTCAATAAAAATTCCACTTACCGGGCACTGTTTCAAGGAGCTTCAAAATGATGTGTCACAAGACCCCCCTTTTTTTTAATGTTTTCCCCAGATGGCACCCAGTCCCCATCTGGAAAGTTTCATCTGTCAATTCCACTTCAAAATAAAATATTCATGCATTAATTCCTTCAACGAAAATTTCAATTTTTTAGTTGTCCCGTTCAAAATGCACTGTAAATCAATTATTGGCGTGAATATTCTCGACAAGTTACATGTCACTAATGAAATGAGTTGAAGCAATTAGCTATATCGTTATTCGTTCATCAAAACGAATCGAGTGTCATTATACTTTTTTCACAAGAAAAAGTGAATATCATTTTTCGACAACTGTGCGGGAAGTACCCTCTTCCCGGGGAAGTACCCTCTTCCCGGGGAAGTACCTGAACATAAAAATTTTGTTAGGTATGATTTTGACAAATGCATTTGATCATTCCTGCGGTAGCGGAATAACGACAGCTATTTGACGTGAAATCAGTTGGCATTTTCACTTTTGAAAGTTTGCATGCTTTTTGTTCGCAATTATAGCAATAAACTACGGAAAACAGCAGCAAATGTGAGTTTGAAGATGTATATCACTAAATTTACAATGCAACATCTGCTGCTAAAGCACAATCATTGCCTTAAAAATTAAATTCCAGGTAAGAAAACCTTTATGACTGTAATTTTGGCTTGACGGGTTAGTTGTCCTTGTTCATCTTTCACTTCCTGAGCCACTATGCATGCTATTTTTGCCGAGTACATTAGCTTGGGATGTGGGGTTGAGCAAACCTGCCATCGGATACCTGCTTCCACGTAGCCCCGCTGGATACGGGAATGACAGAATCACTTGTAGTAATGTTATTCCCTAACTGAATGGCATCCCAATGATGGCTCAATACTAAGGTGTGTGTATCCGTGCCGAAAGGATGAATAACACTGAGCCTATCAGCTGTCTCTACGGAACCTTCGAGATACCAGGTGCTCTCTCGTCGTAGCATCTCCTTGTTACGATAATGCGGGGCTCTGCCGTGATTGGCCTTCTTTCCCTAGCTACTTGTGGGTCTGTTATAGACAGAGTAAACTTAAAAATTCTTTCTGTCGCTGAGTCTATAGAGGAGATGGATGTCGAGTTTACGACTCCAACTGACCTCCCTGTAAACTTAGATCAGGAGCGAGAAGTTCAAAATTGATTCCTTCCTTTCTTTGGAAGATTTCCATATTTTT